TAGCTTCTACCCACTAGGTGTTATCTCTTTTCTCTATTTTTATGAATAGCCTCACCTTTATTCCTGCCAAGTCTTGTTATTTGAAACTGGGCCTCATGTAGTCCAAGCTAGCCTTGAATTTCCAATCCTCCTGCCTCTATCTCCCTGGTGATGATTTCAGGTGTGTGCCAACATGCCATGCTCATACTAAGTCTTTAAAACTCACCGTATTTTGGCTCAGCAGTTAAGAGCACTGGTTGCTCTTCCAGAGGTCCTGGTCAATCCCAGCAACCAATAGTGGCTCACAAAAACCCACCGTATTTTACTCACAGCATACTTCAAATTTACAGTCTTTAACACTCCCAGGAAACATTTTATATATATTAAAATTTAGTAAAATTTACAGATCTATATATCTAGTTTATGTCAAATATGCTTTAAAATGCCCCAAAACTAACATTTAAAATTTAATTTCAACTATGGCTCAGCAGTTAAGAGCACTGGCTATTCTTCCAGAGGACCTGGGTTAGATTCCTGGCACCACATGGTGGCTCACTACAGTCTCAGGGGATCAACATCCTTCTAGCTTCCATAAACCAGGCACATTCATGGAGCAGACATAAACACAGGCAAAACACCCATACACATAAAAGTAAAATCTCTTTTAAAAATTAAACTAAACTTAAAAATTTAGCCATATAAAACTATTTCAACTGCTCAATGATTAACTGTGGCTATCCACTATTGCATCAGACAAGACTTTATTAGTAAGTTAGACACCATGCTTTAACTAGTTGAAAGAAAATCAAGAGGAAGGCAAAGTGACAGCATTACTGTGTTACAATTCTGTAGCTTAAACTACAATTTTAGAATTGAAAAGTATTCTATAGCTTAGTAGAAGTATTCTATTCGCTACTGAAGACTAGGTTTAAAACATGGAGAAAAATTATTTAAATACCTGAAACACATGCCTCTTCAAATGGCATCAAATTAAAAGCTATAGCTAACGCCTAGAGGACAAAAATCAAGTTTTCTCCAGGATAAAACAGCAAGGTAAAATTAAATATTAATTAGTTTGGTCTGGCAAGAGCACTACTGACTTTGGAAAATAACACTTCACAAAATAAGTTTTTTATCTGACAAGAGATTTTATCTGACAACAGTTAGAATATAATAATTTAAAATTTGGCTACAAATTGTGATAACAAGAACAAAATTTATGTAAATTATTATGATAAAGCAGAAAAAATTATATAAGCACTTAGCCTCCTGAATGATCCTTTTAAAAAAAATCTTTTTCTTCCTTTTTATTTTTTTTGGTATTTCGAGACAGGGTTTCTCTGGGTAGCTTTGGCACCTGTCCTGGGACTTGATCTGTAGACCAGGCAAGCCTCGAACTCAAAGATTCACCTGAAAAATTCTTAAATGTAGAAAAGTTTTTAAGACAGTGCCTCATGTATCCCAAGCTGGCATTAAATTTACTGTGCAACCTTGAACTTTGATACTTTCATCTCTGCCTCTCAGTGTTGGGAAGACAATGTGTACCACCATGTCCAGTTCATGCAGTGCTGGTGTTTCATGCTTGCTACTGACTGACCAAATCCCCAAACTCATAGAAACCACTATTTGTTTTTTATAGTAATACCACATCCAACACTCACCAATATGCATACCTCTATAGGTAGAAGGCATACGTTAAAAAAAACCACACACACAAGATTATACTTCAGACACTCAAAACTCTCAACATAGCAAAGGAGACATTGCACAGTATTTATTAAAATTTAGTATCTCAATCAACAATTTATAAATTACTGGTCTTACACAAGAAAGCAAAATATAAACTGCATATTTCTAGTCAGATTCAACAACCAGTTTTATAGGTAAGCAAGATTCATTCTGTAACCAGGCTCAGTAGCAAACAGCTACTCAAGAGGAGACAGAGGGATCTGAAGGTTAGGAGCCAACCAGCCTGAGTCCACAGCGAGATGAGAAGGACACAGATACAAAAATGTCACAAATCTTCTTTACAGTTCAGTTTTTTAAAAAACATATTTCCTATGTAATCAACACCTAGATAAAGATACAGAAAACTTTCTGGGTCTGTCCCCAGTCCGTACACTATTGGAGAGAACCATTATTCGGTATATATCAACATCGTTTCATTTCTAACTGCAGAATCCTGTTCCACTCCCACCCAAGTACTAACCAGGCCCGACCCTGTTAGTTTCTGAGATCAGATGAGATGGGACACATTCAGGGTGGTATGGCCACAGACTCTGTTCCACTGTGTAACAAACATCTAACCAAAAGTTTCAATTCGAAACCACACGGCTCTGTATTTAATATTATTCCTACCTACCATTTCATTTTTATTTTGGTCACTTTAGTATTCATATCTTGTTTAAAGGAACTAATTTGCACCTCCTTTAGTTTTATTTTTCAATTGCACTGATAACTGATTGCACTGCCACTCTAGCCATTACTGTTGACAGCATATTTCTTGCTTTAATATCATCTTCCCTAGAGAGGAATAACATATAAAAGTAACCAGCTTACCGACCACAAATTCAAGCCATAATGCCCTTGGTTAATAAAAACAAGAAATCTCAGGTGAAATAGTCAATAGCCTAATGTATACTCCTCATACTTCAGATATGCATATAGAAACATATAGCAGCTATCAATTGCAAATTTGTCTACTATGGAGATAAGGAAAATACATTACTTATAACAGGATATCCTACTGCTGTTGATAATAAAAATAATAACAGGAAAAAAATAAAAATATTTAAAATAGTAAGCTTAAAAAGTTTCGACACTCAAAATTTAAATCATAGATTAAATCACAGTAGAGGGTTTAACTATTTGGTAAACTCAATAAAAAAGAAAAACTTAGCAAATAAAATTTCAAACAAAAACTACAAAATAGGATCACTGCTTTTCACAGGTCTTTCCAATGAAGTCAGGAGACTGAACACAGTGCAGCTGTAAAAGTTTTTGATCTCAAGGACATTAACGTCTCAAACAACAAGAACTGTACTACACCATTATTTCATTTCTTTAGTATCTTAAAAGGAACAAAAAGGAAAATTTAAAGTTCCATTTTTGTTGGAAGTTAGTTGTGGAAAATTGAAGAACTATACCTGCAAAAACATCTTGGAACTGTTTAGTCCAGAACACAATTCTAAGCTCCCAATTGTAAGAAATAAAAACCTTAAGGAGTCTTAATTTTGAGCATGCTTACTGTCCTAAACGGTAGTTTTCTCTAAATTTGCCCAGTTCCTAATTTCTAGGCATCTGCCCCCATAATGTTACATGCAAGTATCTGTTTAAATAAACAGAACCAGCTAGTGCTGGTGGCTCAAGTTTGCAATACTAGCTACTCAAAATTCTGAGGCCAAGAACATTGTTGCCAAGTTCAAGACTGGCCTGAGCAACATCAAACTAAAGTGCTGGAGGTTATAGATCAGTGGCAGAGTGCTTTCCTTCGGTTCCCAGAACTTCAGTAAGTAAAAGAAAGCTACTTTAATAGTATACTTAATAACGAGTTCAAACAGACTGACAAGAACCCCACCGTGTGGCTTCATTTCTACTGTCAAATTAGGTATCAGAAAGATGACATCCTATACCTAGAGAAACTGAACGAGATCCAAGTTTTTTTAAACTAAACGCCCAGAATAATTTTTGGACTCATTATCTTCATTGCTATTGCTATTACTATAACAGAACATGATAAATATGTATTGAGTATCAATGAGTAAGAAAAGAAAGACAGCATCAAAGTCATACGCTACTAGGAAAAGAAAACTTCCTAAAAGATAGCTGGATCACATCTTTTAAAATTAGCCAAATGTCCCGGATCGTGACTCAAGCGGCGCAAACATTCCAACACATGAAAAAAAAATTCAACACTGAGTAACCAATATCTAAAGCAAAACCAGAGTAAAAAAGTATTTTATATGTAGACCTAAAAATCAAACCTCAGAATAGAGTTTTAAGACGCGTATAGATAAATGACCTTTATTTACACAGAACGAGTTTGGAGAAATGATATATTTTCGTCCTCCAAAAAAGGATGCCGATTCAAACAGTTCAACTAACTGAAACAATAGTGCTAATTTTCAGCTGACTTAGAAAGAAAAATCCTTCCGGTATTTCATAAAGTTTAACATGTTTAAGCTTCCATCTTTCTCTAAAGATTGTAAAGGCAACCTCCAAAACGGCTTGCTTATAAACGGCGCTAATACTGTAACAGTTTATAAATCGATGGAAAAGAAATTCTTTTTCCCAAAAGGGAACAGTTAAACTAAAATAACTCCTAACGTTACCCAAGATTTGAAAAGATCAAACCTCAACTTTGCTAACCAGCAGCAAAAAGCTGCTCCGTGAAGTCGGGGCAAGCATGCTCCCTAAGCAATAGCTCCACCTACTGACCCACGATACTTCCTTAAACATTTTGGCACCCCAAAGTCCCCGCGGCTCGAGTTCGTTCCCCCTCCCCTCTCTCCTCCACTCGCTCTGACCCAACCCAAATCTCGTTGAGTCACTAGCTCCCAACACTCATCCGCGTGCTCTTTATTCCAATTCCTTTTCCCTCCAGAAGGTTCGGCACATCCCACAAGTATGAAGGAAAACCGAAACGTGTCAAAGCCCGCAGTCACAGCGTGGAGCCCGGATACGGATCAGCACCTGAGTTGGCTCGGTCGTGCGCTCCCGAGAAGAGGCCCGGGGCGCGCACGATCCCTCCTCCCCGTTGTCCACTCGGGGCACCCTCGTCCCCCGGGATGGATTCGTGGACTCGCGTCCTTGCCTCCGCTGGCCCTGCAGCCCGCCAACAGCCGGCCTAAGCCTCCGCCCCCTCCCGGAGCCGAGTGATCGAAGAGCCTGGCGAAGTCCCCCCCGGAGGCCCGGTCTTGGCGCGAGTCTCTCCTCGCAGGCAGCGCTCTCCCGGCCCGCCGGCCCACGCCCCTCTCCCCTGCCCTCCAGGCCCCCGCCTGCTGCCCTTCTCCCTTCCTCACCCTTTCATCTTCCCCGCCTGCTGAGGCCGTCGTTACAGCCGCGACCAACGCCGTCGTCCTCGCCGCCTGGAGCACTCCGCGCCCTGCGTTCAGGCCACTCGACCCCACACGCCGGCCTCTCGGCGGAGGGAAAGGGCGCCGAGGGGCCGAGGAGGCCACGGAAGCCAAGCCGGGCCCCGAAGCTCCGGGGAGACGCGGGAAGGTCCGCCGCCGCGCTGCTACCGCCGCTCGGCCACACGTGCACACGGGACACTCGGCTCCCGCCCGCAGCT